ACCAATCTAATTCATGTTAGTCTTACTTCATAATTTCTCCCATATTTATAACCAACCATGAATTTTTTGAATAATAAGAATATTCATGTATTAAACATGTTAATATAGAACACAACAATTATTGATGTGATGACTATATCCCAATATGTCAAAACAATGTAATAGTTGTTGTCTTAATGTTCTAAAATCCAAATACTATATTTAAATCAAAATCCAATTTCTAGAATAATGAAGTCCAATAGTTGAAGTGTGACTATTCATACTTAGCTTAAGAGAAAGGGCTTTATTAATGGCTCTGTCTAAATTTAATTTGTGTGAATTTTGCGAATACTATCATCTCACAATCATACCTTTACCACATCCAGCTATCTCCTCTGCCACATAATTAAATTCGGCTGATCCATGAAGTACCGAAAACTTTTGTAGTCAGCGTATGTAGTACACTGAACCTCATACATATAGTGCCTCGAAATATTGAGAGAAAAAATCACCACCCCAACTCTCAATCATGCTTAGGATAATTCATCTCATGAGGCTCTAGTTGCCTCGAAACGTAAGCAATCACGTGACACCTCTATATAAGGACAACTCCAATGTAACAACCTGTTTGTCATCATTCTTTGATTCAGGGCCGTAGGATGGAATTCAATTGTGTAAAGGCTTAGTCCTTTTAAGGAGGCTATGTTTAGACCTTTTAGAATGAGGTAATGATGGTTATGAGATCTAAACCTTCGAATTGTGTTTTGGAGTCAAAGAATAAAACGGAAAAAGTCATAGGTCGGGTTCTTGCATGAAATAAGGACTTTTGTTTGAGAAGTTTTTAGTCAAAGATATTTAGATAATATTGTAGAGATCTTTAATATCTTTTCGTGGTTATAAAGATCGTTGAAAACGGAGTTGGAACGAAGAAGTTATGATTGTTTGAAGTTAGGGCGGTTTTTGGTTGAGCCGTATATGCTGGACGTACTCAATGTTTATGTTGGGCGTACTAGGGCATACATAGTATGTTGGGCGTAAATTAAGTACATTGGGTGCATACGATCGGTGCCTAAACCTTATTTTTGTGGTTTGAGCCATATCTAAGCTCCTTAACTCCCCTAAACGCATTCCATTCTTAGCTTTCACCTCTCCAACACCCTCACTTGTAACCCTAACCCTGGATTGAGCCTTGTGAGCAAAAAGAAGATGTTTTAAAGTGCCTTGGAGTGTTCTTGGTGCACCTTGGAGAAGAAGGTTCCATTTTTTTCTATTTGGATTGATCGTAGTTTGTTCGAGATAGTCATGTCCATACCATCAAATTTTATTTTGTAAACTGGTTATTTTAAACTTGAAAGTGGTCAAAGTTGGTTACCTTTTTTTAATAAAATCAACCTTTTGTATAACAATATTTTATGGAAAAATCATCACCATGCCACCAAACAGAAACATCAGCAATTACTACAATCATAAACAATGTAAATAGGAAATGCCATAATTAGAAACATTGCTAAAAATAGTGTTTTCATTGTTCTATTAAGTTCCTTACTACAAACAAATGTAGAGTTGATAAGAGCTAAAAATAATAACTTTATACAACAAATGACTGAAAATCCCTTCTAACCAGATTATAATTTTCCAGAATAGAATTGTTTTTAGCAGCCATATGTAATGGCATTCTCCATACTGAAAATCAATTATAGTAAGCTAATAAGTGACAATTATTTAACTGGTTTCCTTTGATTTTTCGTAAATTCATTTTGTAGATTTAATTCATAAATAAAAATCATAAATAGACTACAATAATAATCAAACTATGCACTACACACCATGTTATTCACTTCCATCTCAACCATTTTTCTTTGGTTCTTCTTTCTTCATCTCCACCTACAATACAACAAAGAAACTTAAAGTCAACCTAACAAACTATACGTATACCTATAAAAATCCCGGCCTAACATTACTCATACTCATGTATCCAACTTATGATCCTTATATACATATCAAAACACTATGTTACCTTTATGACAAGAGTGAAGTTTTAATGATATGTTTTTTTCTTTTGGGGGTAAAAATGATTATGTTAGAAATGCTTGTCCTTGAACAAACAAACATATACCAAAACTCGCCTGATTACCATTCATATCAATCAAACGTCCATTAGAAGTCAACAAAACTGGGGTTCCATGGTCCCACTTAACAAAAAAAAATAGAAGAGAGCGACCATAGCTCCCCATACAATCAAAATCTTTATTTCTTAAATCCAAAGATATGCAAAACATAAAAATTAAAAGCTTTGATGCTTAGAAGGCGGTAAAAAAGTAATTAGACACTTAAATGTGTATAATTAATTGATTATCAAACATTAAAGAAATCTTAATCGAAGCATGAAACCGTAAGTAAGAAACTCACAAGTTTCGGTAAAAGAAATTGAGAAATAATCGATGAATTTCAAAATAGAAGTGGTAGATTTCAGCGACTTTTTATAGGATAAGCGTTTGATCAAATGACCCTTGAAGAATTGCATAAATGAACTCTCTTGTTGTGCAAATCTGTACAAAAAAAATAAAATAAAAGGTATACAGGAGACGAACCCTAGAAAAGTGAATTGGTTCAACTTACAACTTTCTCCAATAGCCTTCGACTACGTTGTTTTACTCTCCGGCGGCGGCTGACTTCCCGTTTTTTTCGTTCACGTGAACACACAAAACAACGGAAATTGTAAGAGTCTTACATGTTAGCCTCACTTATAAAGGCATCGATTGGTGGTGACGGTGAAAGATGTCACACCCCAAAACCTGAACGGCGGAATCGTTCGGGGGTGGAGGACGTCATGTACCGTATCACAACAATGAATAGTAGTAAACAAGCAACAACATCATCCATTGCATTAATAATATAATTTCATACATGTGTGCAAAGTTATAGACACTAAAAATATACATATCAAAATAAAAGATAAGTCTTGAACGAACTCCATCTTCTCAAAAACCGGGCCCTTGTACCTGTTTAGTGGTGACCTAAGAATACAAGTTATTTTGAAAGCGAGTATCAGCTTAATGCTGGTGAGATCATAAGTATATTAGGGTCTGTGTTTTTATGAAAACATTTGTAAGATGTTTGTAAGATGTAATGTATAAGTTTTGTAAAGTTTGTATTTGTTGAACTATCCTAGAAAACCTTATGTTTCCTACTAAAAGTAGCCTTCTACCAAGGCATCTAGTAACTGTGTGTGTTTCTTGTAAGAGTGTGTATTTTCCCAAATCCGACTATCATTAACCAAAAATATAGTTTTTACATTACCGCACATCGTGTGAATGTTCACGAAGTGAATGTAATAGGAAAAATATTATAGTACTGTAGTGTTGTATTAAGTAACTACTACTGTATTAACTACCTTAAACCAATTGTTATTTAAAGTACCATGTGATCGACCTGTACCCTGCTACCGACTCTATAGTAAAACGACGATGTAAGAAGCCGTAAGAAATGACATTTGGCACCCGTAGACTTGCAAGTCCCACTGTAGCGAACAACAAGGTGTAGATTAGTCAATCCAGTATAGATCTATACGCAAACTCATACGCTCCCCAATTAAGGAGATTCTGGATACAAAAACGGTCATGGAAGGTAGTTCCATGACCCGTTTAATGGCTCACATAACTGAATGTAATGTATATGTAATGTATGTGCTAGCTGTATTGTGTGTTCTTTCTCTATCTAGCATGTATGTTTGTTTCTCATCACTATGTATTATGTTTGTTTCTCATCACTATGTATTATATTTGTTTCTCATCACTATGTATTAAGTTTGTTTCTCATCACTTTGTTCTATGTTTGTTTCTCATCACTATAAGTTATGACTCATGTATGAACTGACTCTTTGTATGATTCATTGTTCTAGTATTAGTATTAGTAAAACCCTAAACTATGCCTATTGTAGTTTACTAGTAATATAACTTGTATGTATGAACATGGGAGTATACCCTTGCTCCCAAGGATATTGAATAATCAGCCCTCGTCAAGAAGGTGTGACAAACGTTGGTGGTTGGGGAGATTGTCGACGATGGTTTTCTGGTTCACTGGTGGTGACAAACGTTGGAGCTTCTAAAGCTCTTTATCAGCCGATGATGGGAGGGAAGAGAGATAGCTCCAACGAGATATGGGTTTCAAGTATGAGAAAGAGAGGCGTCTGGTGGGATATAATGATGGAGAAGATGGAGATGGTTGGTGAAGGATGGTGGTGGGGCGAATGTTTATGGCAGGAGGAGGTCAGGTGGAGGTGTTCTTGATGGTCCGTGTTTGTGTGTGTTTTAAAGAATTAGCAGCAGATGGAGGGGAGAGAGAGAGAGATAGCGAGAGGGATCTCTTTTAAAGTAAATTTTTTTAATATAATAAATGATAAATGAATTAAAAGAAAAGGAAAAACGAAATTTAGGAGGGATATAATAGTCTTTTCAGGTGTTAAGGGACCTAAATCACTAAAAATATCCAATTTTGAATTATTGATGCACCAACATTTTGTTTTGGACTAAAAGCACATAAATTTACCAACCATAGGGACCATTTTTGCAATTTTGTCTTATTTTTGCAAATAATACAAAAAAAAATGGAATGACTCCGCGGGCAATACTCCAGCGTTCCGGAAACCTCCGAATCGTTATATTATGAAAATGATGGTTGGTTTAAAAAAAAAAAAAATACATTGTTCATTTTTTTCAAATCCTACTTCATTTATAAGGGTTAGATACTTAGATTACTCAATTTCTCAAATATTTATCATCTAAAAAAAACCTTAAATTGGTTGAGATGCCGGCCTTGACATACTTTTGCTTTGGTCGGCATAGGACGTTAAAATGCCGCCACCGTGTTCTTTTCCTTTGACAGATTGGCAAACCATATGCCACTTTGACAACTTATTAAAATATGTCATTTATCATTAACAAAATGATATATTAAAAAAATCAGATATTAAAACTAACCTTTATTAAAATATTCTAACTAAAAGTAGAACCAAATTATCATTAACAACTTCCAAACCTACAAAGAAAAACGTTACAACATATAAATACTAAAACGTAAAAATGCATACAAAAAACAAACTAAACACATATTTGTACAAAGCGACTATCTTCATCAAACTCACTTTGCAACAAAAGAAAGCGCCTTTTTAAGATTACGAAATGCTTTCTCAAAACGTACAAAACCCATAAACCAAAATTCAAAACCATCATCTGTCACCATTTGTATGTATTTTTGTGCAGGGTTCTCCACATTCTCACTCTCATTCGCTTCTTTAATCTTGTTCACTGGAACCAATACCTAAAACCAACATCCAAACACAACTTAACCATTTGTATCTAATTCAAAGTAGCAAGAATTGAAAATAGGGTGATTTGAATTAATTACCTTGTAAGGCTTTCGAATGGGGTCGCCATTTGGTGAAGGCAATGCGATGGATCTGTCGCTGTAGAAAGCTATCTTTTGAGTAGAGATGAAGAGTATTCCGGCGATTGGACCTGCGGTGGTTGATAAGTAACATTGAGAAGCTTTCAACAGCTTCTCTCCTTCGATTTCCCCAAATACTTCCTTGAATATGTTTTCTCTTCCTCCTTTTTGTATGATTTTGGCTCCTAATCTTAGCTTCCCCTTCACTGTTTCTGAAAATTTTGGCCCCATCTTCACTGCAAACATTAACGACCTTGTTTTTCTCAATCACTCAATAGATCAGGAAACCATCGGATTTACATTTCAAAATAGCCCTAAAATTTGGGCAGCAAAATAATGAATATATATAATCAGTGTAGTTGTGATTATCTTCACAAAGGAACATCGAAAATGATTTTTTTTACATAAACAGCTGATTTAGTAACTCAACTATGTGTAAAATCTTACCGTGATCTCGAACTCTGTACGCGAAGCTACAGGTTTTTCTGCGGGGATGTTTCTTAGTTCGACAGCTTTTCTCCAGATCTCCATCTTCAGTCCCTTGGATACATCAATAAACACAAATAGGTAAGTAGAGAGAAAATAAGAGTGAAAAACAGAGTATGTAATCGAGAGAGTACCTGTAGTAGAGAAATTGGAGTGTTCGTACGAGGCATCTAGGAGTGAAGAAGGACTGAAGAGAAGATTAACCGGCGATGACGCAGAGCCGGTCGTCGTCCCTGCTCTCCCGTGGGCTTCGTCGGTGTTGATCTTCATTCACAGAAGCGTGTTGAATCCTGTGGTTTGCAGTTGGGATTGAAGAAAAAATGGGTGGAAAAAAACGAGGAAATAGGGGTGTTTATGGTCGAGGCGATTGTGTCTTCGTCAACTCTGTTTCTACATTAATTGATATGCAGACTTCCAATCAGCTTCCCTCAAATTGAATTACTTAATTCTAACACGTTTCATTAACAAAATAATAACATTAAACATGGACTTATTCATTAAAATCCATTTATTACTTTATTCTTAGTCCCTAAAATTAAAGATCCTCTACTGATTAGTGATTATCGACCAATCAATTTTATTGGCTGCATCTAAAAATCATCTCCAAGATTATCTCGTTGAATGAAGAAAGTGATGGGGCAGTGCATAAATGTGGTGCAACTAGCATATATTGAAGGGAGGAATATACTTGATGGGGCCTTGATGGTTAACGAGATTTATTCGTGGGCAAAAAAGACCAAAAGAAAAATCCTTCTTTTCAACGTGGACTTCGAGAAGACTTTTGACTCAGTTAATTGGAAATTTCTTGATTCCAACCTCATGCATATGGGATTTGGGGGTAAATTGAGGATGTGGTTAAGAGGATGTCTTGGATCTGCAAGATCTTCCGTCTTAGTCAACGGAAACCCAACAGCGGAATTCCCATTATCTAAAGGAGTCTGGCAGGGCCCCGCTCTCCCCATTCCTTTTTAGAGCAGCCGTGGAGGGTCTCAGTGTAGCGATGAGGCCAGCATGCGAACTAGGCATCTTCCAAGGTGTTAAATTAGCAAACGGTGGTCCGCTGATCTCACATCTATTGTACGCAAATGATGCACTATTTCTGGGGGACTGGTCAAAGCAAAACATAAATAACCTTGCTCGAATTCTCCAATGCTTTCATGCGGCATCAGGATTAAAGATTAATTTCAATAAATCAAAAGTTTTTGGAGTTGGGGTAGAAATGCAAGAAGTCTCGAACTGGGCCAAGACTCTTGGTTGTGAACCATCCTCCCTTCCTTTTACATACCTAGGAGTTCCGGTGGGTGCCAACATGAATTTGAAGAAGAATTGGAAACCAATCTTAGAATGATTTCAAGCCAAACTTTCAAAATGGAAGTAAAAAACACTCACTTTTGGTAGCAGACTGACTCTTATTCAATCAGTCCTTGGCAATCTCCCAACATATCTCTTGTCACTCTTTGTAGCACCTGAGGGTGTAATCCAAACCCTTGAGAGAATGACGAACAGGTTCCTATGGGGGACATCGGAAGAAAAGAAGAAAATCTATTGGATCACATGGGACACGGTAGTCGCACCCAAGAAAGCAGGTGGACTGGGTGTTGGTACGATAAAAGCTCTTAATATTTCCTTAATAATGAAGTAGTGGTGGAAATTGAGAACCAAACCCCATCACCTTTGGGTGGAAGTCATCTCAAGCCTGCATAACCTCAAAGCGAAACCTGATGATGTGTATTCGAAAAAATCACTAACAGGAGTGTGGAACAACATTGTTGGCATACGGAAAGACCTAGTAAGCAAAGATATACATGTTCCCTTTGTCCTATCTAAACAATCTACCATTAATGGTGTAACCTGGAGGTGTGAGCTCTCCCCGAATGGAATATACACAGTATGCGATCTTAGACATAGATGGGATTACTAGCCCCCTAATGTTGATGGCAATTTCTCTTGGATTAAAGAGGTCCCATTAAAAGTCAACTTCTTTATATAGCGGGCAAGAAGGGGGAGGATTCTCGTCGCATTGGAGCTCTCAAAGAGAGGAGTATATTCGGAATCTTTGACCTGTCCCGTGTGTAACGAACACGATGAATGTGCAGATCATGTATTGGTTAACTGCCCTTATGCTACACAGGTATTTGAAGGGATATCAAGTTGGTGTAAGGTACATACAGCGGACTTCCATACGATTAAGGATGTTGAGGACTCAGTTTCTCAGCGGGGGTCGGGTCACAACAGGAGTAAGATTCTTTTGGCAGTGTACTATGGAGCCTTATGGAGCATTTGGAAATCAAGGAATGAAAGAGTTTTTAATAAGAACCGGATCCCACCCGACAAAGTCAATGACATAATTAAATCAGTGACTTACCTATGGGAAAAAAACAGGGGAAAATAGGATAGGATTACCTGGACAACATGGTCTCAATGCCCTCTGTCCTTTTGAATTACTCTTCTTTCAGTTTTGTCTTCTATTTTCTTCTCTTTTCTTCTTTTTGCTTGCTCCTTGTATGCCACTAATTGTGGCTTATGTATTTTCTCTTTTTATTAACATATTTTATTGGTCGGTTCCAAAAAAAACATAAATTATAAGGTTGGACTGAATGAGTGAGGGAAAAAAGGACGGAAGTTTTCCATCTCAGCTGAACATCATCTCTTGATTGAGGAAAAAGTGGTGAGGGAGCTCATTCCCTCATTTTTCTTTTCTATTCCTATTGGCCACCTTTTTTTTTTTTTTTTTATCTTTTTTAAACTTATTAAATTTTAGACCTATTAAAATTTATATATATATATATATATATATATATATATATATATATATATATATATATATATATATATATATATATATATATATATTAAAACTCATGGTTTTTAATTCCTACAAAATGAGTATAATATTTTTAGGAAATATATATATTTTTTTAAAATAAAAAAAAATAATGAGGGAAGTTTTCAACCCATTCATTAGGTTTAGGAGAAGGAAAGAAAAGTTAGGGGAATGGTCTTGTGGCCCACAAAAAGTGACGGGAGTTTCTCACCCACACCCTCCGGTCTAAGCAAAACAGTGTAAGGTCATCTGGTCTATCGGCAATGAAAAGGTTTGTTATCGATGTGGCCACCGACGGTGACCGTGCACACCATCCCATCGGTCCGTGGTGGCTCATGGACGTGGTGATTTATGGTGGGAGCACGAATGACGATGATCAATCTGTTTCTTTTTCACTCTGAAGCATCTCTCTCTCTCTCTCTCTCTCTCTCTCTCTCTCTCTCTTCTCTTCTCTTTTCTTCTCTTCTCTTCTGATCGTCGTATGTACTCCGAAGTTGGTTCGTGGCTCGTGGTGGCTAATCTGAAATCTCTTCACGATCTTTGTCGTGAAGAGTATTACTAATGGTCTAACCATCAACATACAACCCCACGAATGACCGGACATTTGAGGTTTTTGGTTACCAAAACGTTGTTAGAAAATTAATTTTATTAATTTCCAAAAAATGGATTTTCTCCATTTTTTAGCACAAATTTTGGTTAACAGTTACAAAAACGAATTAAAAGCTATTAATCATAGATTTTTGTTTTGATTCATTATTAATTGTCTTATTTAATTGTGACATTTATAATTTCGTTTTTATTACATTTGGGTAGTATAAATTCAACGCCTATGCGACTGATTCGATAAAACTAATAAAACAAAATACTCTACATCTCTTACGTTTCTGCTTCATTTTTTCTTTTTTGCTGCAACCAAGGTTTAATTACTCATATTTTTCTTCAGTTCATGGCGGCCATTAATTGTTTTTCGATAAAAAATATCTTAACTTTTCAAATAACAAAGAAAATGAAGTGCGTTTTTAGAAAAAAAAATAATCAGTTTTTATATATCAATATGGATCACTATGAAAAGATGACGAAAAAACATGAAGAACGTTATATTCGAGTTTTTTTGGATAAAAAACATGGTCTAGAAAAAAGAAAAGTAAGTTTTATTATAATGTCGTGCATTTGCGTTCATTGTAAAAGTCTACAACATTTTCTTTTGTTGTTGATCGTTTTAAATTCTGTCCATTTTGATTGGTTTCTTCATTATTTGATTTAATAATGGTTATTTATTGAACTTTCTCTCTCTCTCTCTCTCTCTCTCTCTCTATATATATATATATATATATATATATATATATATATATATACATATATATATATGTGTGTGTGTGTGTGTGTATGTGTGTGTGTATGAGACACATGCCTCGAAAGAAAGAATATCAATGCTGCGTTTTCTCTATTTCAACATTTTTTTAATCTGTCCCATTTTTTTAAATGTCAATAACTCATTTATATTACGTCGGAATTACTTAATTTTTTTTCAAGCATGTAATTTGGTGTTTGTACTTCATTTTATACTATAAAAACTCATATTTTGGGTAGATATTGAATCAGTTATAGACCTCAAAAGACAACATATATCAATGTTGCGTATTTTCTGTTTCAGCATTTTTTTTGGAATTTGTCCGGCTTTTAAAAGGTGTATAACTAACTCATATGGAATCAGAATTACTTGATTCCTTTTTCATCATGTAATTTAGTGTTTGTACTTCAATTTAGAATGTAAAAAGTCATAACTTGGTTGAATATTGAATCATTTATAAGCTCCAGAAGATAACATATCATCTATAATATTTCAACCGTTCTAGTTTGAAAGATTACCGAAAATCTGGGTCCGGAACCGGCGCTAGAACCGACGGTCCGATTCTCGATTCTTATAATATAGAAAAATCGGTTTTGGTTTCGAACCGATCGAGTTCTAAAGCTCATCTATATATATATATATATATATATATATATATATATATATATATATATATATATATATATATAAGTGAGAAGCATGGTCTAATGAAGCCCTTGCTGAGCAATTCGTTAAGTTGACAAGATAGCTCCTGCATCTCAGTTAGTGCTAAACGATAGGGCGATTTGGCTACTGGGGTAGCCCCTGGAACTAAGTCGATTCTGAAGTCGACTTGATGTTGCGGAGGTAATCCTGGTAGTTCTTCTGGAAAGATGTCGGGAAAATCGCATAATACTAGAATGTTCTCTATGTCTTTCGTCTCTTGACTCACATCTACAACATGAGCAAGGAATGTGCGACATTCCTTTTGCAGGCATTTCTGAGCTTGAATACTCGAGATTATACGAAGGTCCGTGTTGGGTTTGTCGTCGTAGATAACTAGAGTTTCGCTGGACGGCAGATTAAGGCGAACAACCTTTTCGTAACACATGTTGTCGGCACGATGTAGACTCAACCAATCCATGCCAATAATGATGTCGAAACTTTTAATTGAGACCGGCATGAGGTTATTTGAAAATGAATGGCTATCTAGAGTCAGAGTACATCCTATGCATATACTGCTAGTGCTCTCAGTCTTTCCGTTAGCCATTTCTACAGTGAACGATTCTTTAAGTGTTCGTGATTTTTGCTTAACTAAATGAGCAAATTTTTGGTTCATGAAACTCCTCTCTGCTCCACTATCAAACAGAATGCATGCATAAGAGTTATATAGGAGAAACGTACATGTGACCACTGTGGGGTCGGCAACTGCTTCCTTGTGGCCTATAGCCAAAACTCTTCCCACTCCACCATCATTTCCCGCCTTCTGGTAGTTCCTTTTGTAGTGGCCCACCTC